AAGAGGATTTGAAATCCTTATACAGAGAAGCTAACAAGGAGATGAAAGAAGCAAATATGCCTCTAAGGATGTGGAATACTAATTCAAAGCAATTAAGGGAACTTATCAAAGAAGATTTCCCTGAAGCTGAAATTCCTGATTGCAACAATATGCTGGGACTTAATTGGAACACACAGGAAGATACTTTGAGTCTCAAAAGGATAAACAATAATTCATGCAGTACACTCACTAAACGTAGTTTACTGTCAGAAGTATCACAATGTTTTGATCCTCTAGGACTCGTCTCACCTATTACCATAAAAGGTAAAATGCTTATGCAAGATGCATAGAAGCTCAAAATTGGATGGGATGAGAACTTGCCTCTAAAAATGAGTCAAGCATGGGATGAAATATCCAAGGAGTTTAAACAACTTCATCAAATTCAATTTCCCAGACATAGGTCAAGAGTGAAACAAGTACACATTACATGTGTTCTGTGATGCGTCAACCAGAGGTTATGGCGCTGTAGCTTACATGAGTAATGCTGAAGAAAGTACACTAATTACTTCAAAGGCTAGGGTAGCACCCTTGAAGGTCAGAACAGTACCACAATTGGAACTGACAGCACTCTATGTAAGTACAAAATTAGCTGTCTATCTCAACAAAGTACTCGATCATCTCACTATTGAAAAACCGTGATCTGGAGTGATAATGAAGCAGTTCTTCAGTGGTTAAGAAATAATAAGAGTAAGTTGGTCTATGTACAAAACAGAGTAGCAGAAATAAAAGAGATGCAGAGAGATTATCTCTTTCTCCACGTCTCTACCCAAGAGAATCCAGCTGACATGTTGTCACGTGGTGGCTCACTTAAGAAATTTGTGGATAATAAATTATGGCTCCATGGACCGAACTGGCTCTCTAATGAAAATAACTGGCCTCAGCGAAAAGCTCACATTATGCCAGAAGAAACAATTTGCTTGAACACGGCAGAAATAAGTTGTGTAAATACTGCAGACACAACAGAAATAGGCAATGATGGATCTAAGTACTCATCTTTGGGTAAACTCTTAAGAGTTACAGCTCTTGTCTTTAAATTCATTAAAGGAATAAAACCTGATTATGAATATCTTGAACCCATTAAATACTGGTCGAAACTAATACAGAAAGATGTTTTCTCTACAGAACATAAATTTCTGAAAACACAAGATAAATCCCCAAAGAGACCTGTTATGATTAATTCTTTAGGACTTTATCTCGACTCAGAAAAGATTATAAGATGTCGAGGAAGAATTCATAATTCTTCACTACCTATAGACGCCATACATCCAATATTGATCCCCAAGAATCATTGGCTAACAAAACTGATTGTGCAAAACTCCCACAGTAACGTGTTACATGGTGGGGTAGCTGACACACTTTGTCATATACGACAATCCTACTGGATACCTCAAGGTCGACAAAGTGTGAAAAAACAAATAAAGGACTGTATTACTTGTCTTCATTACGATATGCGCGTATGTCAGTATCCAGGTCCACCTCCATATCCCTCTGAAAGAGTTTGTCATGTCACTCCATTTGAGGTGACAGGTGTAGATTACGCTGGACCAATAATTTTAACCAAAACAGTTGACAAAGTTCCCTTCAAGGTGTACATCTGTTTGTTCACTTGTGCTACAACTAGAGCAGTACATCTAGAAGTAGCCACTGACATGTCTGCTGAAGCCTTTATCAAATTATTTAGAAGGTTTGCAACCAGAAGGGCATGTCCCAGACTGATGATTTCAGACAATGCAGCGAACTTTGTTGCTGGTGCTGCAAGATCTTTGATCAGCCTGAAATACAACAGATGCTGAATGAAAGCAGTTGTCGTTGGAGATACATTCCTCCTAAATCTCCATGGCACGGCGGATTTTATGAGAGAATGATCGGCATTGTAAAACGTTGTTTAAGGAAGACTCTTCATCGTCAGAGAATCGACTTAGAAGAATTTCGCACGGTTATGACTGAAATAGAAAATAGAGTCAACAACAGACCTCTAACTTATGTTACCGATGATTTGGACAATTTAGAAGTATTAAGTCCATCCCATTTACTCCATTGCAGAAGGCTCGAACCTGTTTCTCAGACGTATACTCAAACGCCTTAATAAAGTGATTTCGTATGAACTAACTGAAATGAACATTGGTGGTATACTGTTATACTGGATACCTGGCTGTCTCACTAACAGAAAATCTGTTGCATTGTTTCAAGACTACAACAGTAAAAATAAAGAAATGTAACATGACACTCCTCAAGACAGTGTATTAGATCCTACACTGTATATTATGTCCTATGATATCCTACACTGTACAGTATATTAATCAATGCCCTATTATAATTTTTAGCTGATACCTCCAGTAATACCGTTATTAGTAAATCATGCTTTATTATATACAGATAATTTCTGTAGAACAAATTAAGTGCTGAATAGACACATTGGAAATCGTATAAGTGAACCACCAAACTAAAGGTTAATGACTATGTGTTCTCAATATGTACTTAGCTAACAATAGGCTACTGGTTGATTAAAATGTCAAACAATAAAACCATGAAATGGATTAAGAAATATTCTTGGTAGTCCTGAAACTCCCAAAACTGAGTATGAGAAAAGAATATGTGAATTGTATGTCATGAAAGGACTGTAGTTTCTGCAAGGTGATCAAAACAATGTTACCTAGCCCTTTCACTGCCATTCACGTATATCTATGTGATTGTAGTCAGTATCAGTGCAGTAAATCTGTGTAAATCAAAGTGCTTTCAAATTTGCCACGAGAGACCTGGGAGGCCTAAACATAGCACAAGAATTGGGTCCGCCGCAGTGCATCAAGGGAAAAGTGTGTTAGTCGACACTTGTTCACAACTGCATGCTGCTCTGATACTCTTACTCTCAAGAAGGTTAACCGGTTATTGTTTGATGATGATAGTGACATTGAGGATATTGATTAAGGAATTGAGTTCTATACAGTTGAAACGAAATTGGCGAAAGTGACAGAGAAAACGAAAAGAAGAGCGCTGCAAACCCTGATGATCGGCAACCCTCTAACCTCATAGGTGAAAACTAGCATTCTTGTGGGGTTGGTGCCGATGTGAGAAGTAATGATAACAGTGAAGATGAGTTTGACTTTTTGGGAATTGACGATGATACAAGTTAGAGCGATGCTAATTATTCGCATCGCTACAAGTGGTCTAGTAGTATACCTAGGGCCGTTCCCAACGTAAGGTAAATTACGTCATCAAACTACCATCTAGTAAGAGCAATAGCAAATATGAAAGGGCTACAGTTGGGATTGGAAGTGCAGGGCGGGCAGTGACAGCCAGGCATGCGACACCGGGTGTTGGGTGAAAGATACTCTCAGCATCATCGTCAGCCCTGGAAGGGAGCACTCACCCACCCCACTTGCCGAGTTGTACCGTGAACGACGACTCAGATTAATTCGATGTCTTTGAACTGTATTTTGAAATTCATTAATGAAACTGCCAGTGATGAGAACAAACAGGTATTACCAATAAACAAAAGCAAACACGTATGTTGCAAAACGCTCAAGACTTAGCCACTGGAAAGACGCAACTGTTGCCGAGATGTATATCTGCTTTTACCACAATTCTGCTTATGTTAAACGTGTATAAGCACAGTAGTACAAGAGACTAGTCGATAGGTCTACTTACACGCACTCCGACACTCCTTGATCTTATTCCTTCTTGTTGCTGCGTATGTGCATTTCTCAGGCAAGAGTAACCTTGAACCTCAACACTGTATTTTATACTATATTATGCCAGTTTTTTGTAATTTCAAATAATTTCAGGGACTTCTTTTGTTCCTTTCAGAGCACTGCAGCGGCAGACTGTTATTAAATATATGTACACCGTTTACTCGCTTTTTGTGTCTGAACGTGACAGACATGTGTGGTAAAACGCGTAGAAAAAAGGAAAACATATTCCCAGCTTCAACGCAGGTATTGCTGTTTCTGATGTGCAGGTGTTTTATGCCAATGACATCATGGCATTTTAGTGGCAAGAAGATCGTGACGTGATATTGTTGACATCATTCCACTTGAAAGAAATGAAAGAAAGTGAAAAGGTGAAGAGCGAAACTAACGAGCCTATTGAAAGACTAGTTGCTGTCATTAACTACACTAATATCATGCATTATGTACACAAATATAACATGCAGATTATGTACACAAATATAACATGCAGATTGGCTTTATTGGTTGTGTCCGAAAGAGTTACAAGTAGTACATAAAAGTTTAATTTTCATTTTGTAGGCATTGCAATGCTGAATACATACAAAATCTATCAGGTCAAGACTGGGAACAGATCGACATACACCGACTAAACTGTCTTCTTCAGACAAACAATAAAGAAATGCCAGGTTCACAGCAGCAGCACATCACCAGCGCTGCTGTGCTCATTATTCACACCACAAGATGACCTACTTAGTAGAGGGATACACCATATATACTGTATGGCTGAAGGGAATGTAAAACACCACTATACATTGAATCTCTACAACAGTTTTAATAACATTACCACTGCCTGTTATATATGTGAACAAATGTTTAAAGCAGTCGAAAACTGAAGCAAATAGAAGAGTGTCTGTATACAATAGTATAAAAAAGTATTTAAACAGATATATATGACAACACTTTTATTGCAACTATTTTGGTAAGGTTAAACCAAAAAAGACATTGAGCATATGAGGAAAATTTTTACTCTGGAATCCTGCTTTTTGTGCCTGGCTCTCGCAGGATGAACAAGAGCTGTACAATAACTTAGCCGCTCACATGACACAACAAAAAAAAATAAAAAAGGATGGACGCTAGTAAGAAGAGATATTTCCACGTCAGTAAGTGCGTCAGAATCACAATGATATTTTGGCTTAAGACACTGAGCATCCCTATAAACTCTTCAATTCAAAGTAATATAAATAGTGTGTAAACTGTCAGTATTCTAATTACTAAACATAATGTTATTTTCTTCAGGGATTGTACACTATCTACGTGGACACTCAAGAGGAGTCACACTCGACCACAAACTTTAAGGTGGAGGACTTTGTGTTGCCTCGCTTTGAAGTGACATTGAAGCCACCCAGCTACATCTTGGCCACTGATGAGTCCTTCACCTTCACAGTGTGTGCCAAGTGAGTTGCTAACACTTTGTTTCATCCAGGGGGAGTGAAGTTACACGTTGAAGGGAAGATGTTTAGTCCAGAAATGCATGTGCTTGGGTACGTATAGAAAGATGAAATTAACTTCAGCAAGTAAGGGGCTTGGGCTTTCCTTACTGAGGGAATTAGTAGAGGACAAAAGTCAATGGGGTTGATTTAAGAATGTAGTGCGTAGAATGCAGAGTGTAGAGCAGAAGTTTGTGTGTACTGGAGGATGAGTACAGGAAGGAAGAGGAATGATTGGTAGGATAGTGAGGTAAAGAGGGTGACTATTATGGTAGACAATAGCAACAAATTGATAATTAAGGCATGACAACAGTTAGCTATCTTTATTTCGAAACGTTTCGCCGACACAATAGACTTCTTCAGTAGACTACAGAGGCAACATAAATAGTGGAGATGTGAAGACGATGCAGTCAGTCCCTCTTCCTGAAAGACGAAATTCTGAGGTGGTCATTTCCTCAGCTGGAAGAATACTTATGCTGCATAGTCCGGAGAAAAAGTTAGCATGCGAGAGAATTTGAAAATGCATGAAAGATAGTATACGTAATTCATATTATGTAGAGAAGGAAAGAGTGGATAAAAAAAGTGATGTGATGATAGAATGCAAAATGAGAATCACTGAGAAAATGGATGAGGCTCTGTCAGCAGTTTTGGAGAGATCTAAAAGACAAGAGACGTAAGATGAGGAGGTGGTACTGGAAAGATGGAGAGAATATCTTGAGGATCTGTTAACGATGACAAAGGAAAACAGGTGGATATATGATGCATTAAGCCGGGAGGAATAATACCTAACAGCCAGATTAAAGTGTTGGGTATGTGCATTAGGCACGTGTAGAATGAAAGGGGATAAACCACCTGGGGAAAATGAGATTAGGAAAGAGGTGTTAAAAGCTGGTGGGGACATAATTTTGAAGTAGTTGGTGTATTTGTCCAGTATATGTATGAAAAGATAACAAAAAATATACCTGATTATTGACTGAGAGCAATAAGTTTCTTGGAATAAGGGAAAAAGTGACAAGAAAGAGTGTAAGAATTATAGGGGAATAATCCTGCTTAGTATAATGAGTACACTGTATGGAATAATTATTAATGAAAGAGTTGGGGTTGAACAGAAAGTAAAACTAAAGAGGAATAAGGAGAAATAGCCCCTTAGACTGTGTGTATTTGGGACCAGGATGTGTATGACGGCACATTGTCCATGTGACTGATTGTTTCCTGGCTAAAAATTTGCTGATTATCACGATTTCATGTCTCACACAATTTTCTTGGGACCCCCATCATGACGGAGAAAAATAGAAACATCACTACTTACTGGGTCAGCACAGGAAAGGAAGAGTAAAAGTTGCGTCAGTCAGATATACTCATTGTGGCTGCCTGGAATGTTTTGACTCAGGAGACAGTGACGAGCATAATGCTAATGTATAATGTAAACATGCAGCACGTTGCACTCTCCAGTAGTCTTGACACCACCAGAAGCCCTGACACTATCCTGCCAATACCACATATAAGACCAACTACCCTGCCAACACTACATGTAACACTTCCAGCTACCCTGTCAACACCACATGTTACACCTCCAGCTACCCTGCCAACACCACATATGACACTTCCAGCTACCCTGCCAACACTACAGGTAATACTTCCAGCTACCCTACCAACACCACATGTGACACTTCCAACTACCCTGCCAACACTACAGGTAATACTTCCAGCTACCCTACCAACACCACATGTGACACTTCCAACTACCCTGCCAATACATCAAGTGTCAAAACCAGCTACCTTGCCAACACTACATGTGTCACCACCAACTACCCTGCTAACAATGTATGTGTCACCACCCTGCCAACACTTCATGCGTCACCACCAACAACCTTGGCAACACTATGTGTCATCAGCAGGATGCTGACTCACAAAACCAATCATTAGAAATATGAAAAGAATTTATAGAGAATATTAAAACTGTGGGTAGTGTGATAAGCGGCTGTGCCTTTATCTAGTACTAAAATAAATTTAAATGTCATTATAATTATTAAATTGTTATATGTAGTTAACATTGACATGAAATATACAAAAAATCAAAATATATAATTTCCTAGAAATGTAGAGTAAAATACTGTTTACTGGAAACAATGATTCCGCTGATTATTTTCCGACTAATTCAACATTTTCAACATTTTGGTTTTATCTTTCTCAGGAAAATAAACTCTTTAAAATGAAAGGAAATATATGTTTTTAAATTTTAAAATTTCATCCACCTCACTAGTTAAAATGTTAAGGAAATGTTCAGATAGAGTTCTTACAATAAATCCTGTAAGTGAACAAAACTTAGATGGAAATTAGGAGCCGTTTGTTGCGTTTATGAATTTCTAAAAGACAAGCGATACAGTAGATACAAAAACAATATGGCAGATGTTGCAAATATATATATACACAACAGGTGGTTGGGAAAAAAAAGTTTTAATGCGGAAAATAGGCTCAGGTCAGGTACTTAGCAGAGAGGAGGACTATTTCCCAGCAAGAGTAGGAATCATACATTAAGTTGTTTAACATTTAGGAACCCTCAAAGGTGGTGCTTTGTGTCTCATGTACTTTTTTACGTACTGAATCATTTTCACTAATATTTGTGAGGCTCAGTGTTAGGGATCAGCGTCTGTATGCACGTTTCTAGCGCTTGTTTTGTATTAGTGTTATATTTGCAGTGTTGATATTGATAAGTTGCCCATGTTGATGCTGGTGTTTGTTCTCACCTAAACGTTCATAAGTACGAGTGTAGAAGTGTGAACAAGATGGTATAAACCTTGGTAATAAATACCGACAAGTTGGTTTAGAAAGACACGTAAGCAAACACTATAACATATTTATTAGAAAACGTTTCGGTCCTGGAACCTTGATCACTTCTAACGTTAGAAGTGATCAAGGTTCCAGGACCGAAACGTTTTCTAATAAATATGTTATAGTGTTTGCTTACGTGTCTTTCTAAACCAGAAGTGTGAACACACAAGCAAGAAGTTGTATATACCGAGCCACCACTAATTTCCTCTTAACTACCATTAACAGTTATACGTTTGGTCAACCTGTGAAGGGCAACCTCTCGCTAACAGTCATCAACAATCAGAGGAAGAAATGTGAAGTCAGAGTCACTCACAATGTTACTGTAAGTACCTGACACCCAAGTTACTACAACTTTATTTTTCCTACCAACTTTATGAACGTTTTCATTAACTATATCTACTTCTACTAATTCTACTTTCACTTTTCCTGCTTCCAAGTTTTAATAGATTTTTCTATTTTACCAACTACTGCTTAATCTTCACCTACTACTACGTTTTTTCTAATATTTTTTTGTACTGCTACTTGTAATGTTCTTCAATAAAAACTTCTAATGTTCTATTATTCCTTCTAATGTTCTTCAACTAGAAGTAACTAAATAGTTATAACTAACTATAATTTTTGAAGGGGTGGACCGGTAAGCCATCGGAAGGCCTCGGTCAGATGGCCATAAGCTCCAACAGCGGGTCATCATCTGACTAACACCCGCCCAGGAAACACTTGTCCTGTTTCCTGACAAACCTTACCTAGCCTTACCTGTTCTTCAATAAAAACTTCAACTATCAGTAACTTTCCTTTACTACTTATAACGTTCTATACTTGTTGTCTTTGTAAAATTAATAATATTGCTTCTGGTAATACTATTACAAGTGCTGTTGCTTCTGGTAATACTATTACTAGTGCTGCTGCTTCTGGTAATACTATTACTAGTGCTGCTGCTTCTGGTAATACTATTACTAGTGCTGCTGCTTCTGGTAATACTATTACTAGTACTGCTGCTTCTGGTAATACTATTACTAGTACTGCTGCTTCTGGTAATATAATTACTAGTACTGCTGCTTCTGGTAATACTATTACTAGTACTGCTGCTTCTGGTAATACTATTACTAGTGTTGTTGCTTCTGGTAATACTATTACTAGTGCTGCTGCTTCTGGTAATACTATTACTAGTGCTGCTGCTTCTGGTAATACTATTACTAGTACTGTTGCTTCTGGTAATACTATTACTAGTACTGCTGCTTCTGTTAATACTATTACTAGTACTGCTGCTTCTGGTAATACTATTACTAATGCTGTTGCTTCTGGTAATACTATTACTAGTACTGCTGCTTCTGGTAATACTATTACTAGTGCTGCTGCTTCAGGTAATACTATTACTAGTACTGCTGCTTCTGGTAATACTATTACTAGTGCTGCTGCTTCAGGTAATACTATTACTAGTACTGCTGCTTCTGGTAATACTATTACTAGTACTGCTGCTTCAGGTAATACTATTACTAGTACTGCTGCTTCTGGTAATACTATTACTAGTGCTGCTGCTTCTGGAAATACTATTACTAGTGCTGCTGCTTCATGTAATACTATTACTAGTGCTGCTGCTTCTGGTAATACTATTACTAGTACTGCTGCTTCTGGTAATGCTATTACTAGTGCTGCTGCTTCTGGTAATACTATTACTAATACTGCTGCTTCTAGTAATACTATTACTAGTGCTGTTGCTTCTGGTAATACTATTACTAGTGCTGATGCTTCTGGTAATAATATTACTAGTGCTGCTGCTTCTGGTAATACTATTGCTAGTACTGCTGCTTCTGGTAATACTATTACTAGTGCTGCTGCTTCTGGTAATACTATTACTAGTACTGCTGCTTCTGGTAATACTATTACTAGTGCAGCTGCTTCTGGTAATACTATTACTAGTGCTGCTGCTTCTGGTAATACTATTACTAGTACTGCTGCTTCTGGTAATACTATTACTAGTGCTGCTGCTTCTGGTAATACTATTACTAGTACTGCTGCTTCTGGTAATACTGTTACTAGTGCTGCTGCTTCTGGTAATACTATTACTAGTACTGCTGCTTCTGGTAATACTATTACTAGTGCCGTTGCTTCTGGTAATACTATTACTAGTACTGCTGCTTCTGGTAATACTATTACTAGTAATGCTGCTTCTGGTAATATATTACTAGTGCTGCTGCTTCTGGTAATACTATTACTAGTACTGCTGCTTCTGGTAATACTATTACTAGTACTGCTGCTTCTGGTAATACTATTACTAGTGCTGCTGCATCTGGTAATACTATTACTAGTACTGCTGCTTCTAGTAATATTATTACTAGTGCTGCTGCTTCTGGTAATACTATTACTAGTGCTGCTGCTTCTGGTAATACTATTACTAATGCTGCTGCTTCTGGTAATACTATTACTAGTGCTGCTGCTTCTGGTAATACTATTACTAGTGCTGCTGCTTCTGGTAATACTATTACTAGTACTGCTGCTTCTGGTAATACTATTTCTAGTGCTGCTGCTTCTGGTAATACTATTTCTAGTGCTGCTGCTTCTGGTAATACTATTACTAGTACTGCTGCTTCTGGTAATACTATTACTAGTGCTGTTGCTTCTGGTAATACAATTACTAGTACTGCTGCTTCTGGTAATGCTATTACTAGTACTGCTGCTTCTGGTAATACTATTACTAGTATTGCTGCTTCTAGTAATACTATTACTAGTACTGCTGCTTCTGGTAATACTATTACTAGTGCTGTTGCTTCTGGTAATACAATTACTAGTACTGCTGCTTCTTGTAATGCTATTACTAGTACTGCTGCTTCTGGTAATACTATTACTAGTATTGCTGCTTCTAGTAATACTATTACTAGTGCTGTTGCTTCTGGTAGTACTATTACTAGTGTTGCTGCTTCTGGTAATAATATTACTAGTGCTGCTGCTTCTGGTAATACTATTACTAATACTGCTGCTTCTGGTAATACTATTACTAGTGCTGGTGCTTCTGGTAATACTATTACTAGTACTGCTGCTTCTGGTAATACTATTACTAGTACTGCTCTTTCTGGTAATACTATTACTAGTACCGCTGCTTCTGGTAATACTATTACTAGTACTGCTGCTTCTGGTAATACTATTACTAGTACTGCTGCTTCTGGTAATAATATTACTAGTGCTGTTGCTTCTGGTAATATTATTACTAGTGCTGCTGCTTCTGGTAATGCTATTACTAGTACTGTTGCTTCTGGTAAAAATATTACTAGTGCTGCTGCTTCTGGTAATACTATTACTAGTACTGCTGCTTCTGGTAATACTATTACTAGTGCTGCTGCTTCTGGTAATACTATTACTAGTACTGCTGCTTCTGGTAATAATATTACTAGTGCTGCTGCTTCTGGTAATACTATTACTAGTACTGCTGCTTCTGGTAATACTATTACTAGTACTGCTGCTTCTGGTAATACTGTTACTAGTGCTGCTGCTTCTGGTAATACTATTACTAGTACTGCTGCTTCTGGTGATACTATTACTAGTACTGCTGCTTCTGGTAATACTGTTACTAGTGCTGCTGCTTCTGGTAATACTATTACTAGTACTGCTGCTTCTGGTAATACTATTACTAGTACTGCTGCTTCTGGTAATACTATTACTAGTGCTGCTGCTTCTGGTAATACTATTACTAGTACTGCTGCTTCTGGTAATAATATTACTAGTGCTGCTGCTTCTGGTAATACTATTACTAGTACTGCTGCTTCTGGTAATAATATTACTAGTGCTGCTGCTTCTGGTAATACTATTACTAGTACTGCTGCTTCTGGTAATACTGTTACTAGTGCTGCTGCTTCTGGTAATACTATTACTAGTACTGCTGCTTCTGGTAATAATATTACTAGTGCTGCTGCTTCTGGTAATGCTATTACTAGTACTGCTGCTTCTGGTGATACTATTACTAGTACTGCTGCTTCTGGTAATACTGTTACTAGTGCTGCTGCTTCTGGTAATACTATTACTAGTACTGCTGCTTCTGGTAATACTATTACTAGTACTGCTGCTTCTGGTAATACTATTACTAGTACTGCTGCTTCTGGTAATAATGTTACTAGTGCTGCTGCTTCTGGTAATACTATTACTAGTACTGCTGCTTCTGGTAATACTATTACTAGTACTGCTGCTTCTGGTAATACTATTACTAGTGCTGCTGCTTCTGGTAATACTATTACTAGTGCTGCTGCTTCTGGTAATAATATTACTAGTGCTGCTGCTTCTGGTAATACTATTACTAGTACTGCTGCTTCTGGTAATACTATTACTAGTGCTGCTGCTTCTGGTAATACTATTACTAGTGCTGTTGCTTCTGTTAATACTATTACTAGTGCTGCTGCTTCTGGTAATACTATTACTAGTACTGCTGCTTCTGGTAATATATATACTAGTGCTGCTGCTTCTGTTAATACTATTACTAGTACTGCTGCTTCTGGTAATACTGTTACTAGTAGTGCTGCTTCTGGTAATACTATTACTAGTGCTGTTGCTTCTGGTAATAATATTACTAGTACTGCTGCTTCTGGTAATACTATTACTAGTACTGCTGCTTCTGGTAATACTATTACTAGTGCTGCTGCTTCTGGAAATACTATTACTAGTGCTGCTGCTTCATGTGATACTATTACTAGTGCTGCTGCTTCTGGTAATACTATTACTAGTACTGCTGCTTCTGGTAATGCTATTACTAGTGCTGCTGCTTCTGGTAATACTATTACTAATGCTGCTGCTTCTAGTAATACTATTACTAGTGCTGTTGCTTCTGGTAATACTATTACTAGTGCTGATGCTTCTGGGAATAATATTACTAGTGCTGCTGCTTCTGGTAATACTATTGCTAGTACTGCTGCTTCTGGTAATACTATTACTAGTGCTGCTGCTTCTGGTAATACTATTACTAGTACTGCTGCTTCTGGTAATACTATTACTAGTGCAGCTTCTTCTAGTAATACTATTACTAGTGCTGCTGCTTCTGGTAATACTATTTCTAGTACTGCTGCTTCTGGTAATACTATTACTAGTGCTGCTGCTTCTGGTAATACTATTACTAGTACTGCTGCTTCTGGTAATACTGTTACTAGTGCTGCTGCTTCTGGTAATACTATTACTAGTACTGCTGCTTCTGGTAATACTATTACTAGTGCTGTTGCTTCTGGTAATACTATTACTAGTACTGCTGCTTCTGGTAATACTATTACTAGTAATGCTGCTTCTGGTAATATATTACTAGTGCTGCTGCTTCTGGTAATACTATTACTAGTACTGCTGCTTCTGGTA